TATTATAAGGTTCATGACTTGGTGTATGTTCACTCAATGGAAGGGAAATCAGTTGGTAGAGTGTTAAGTAAATTTTAACTGCTTACTCAAACATAAAGGTGGAGTACATTGCAGCCTTAAAGGCAGGAAATGAAGCCTTTTGGTTTGATCTAACTGATTTAAAGGTTGTGGAGCATACTAGCCTGCCTATTAAGCTATATTGCGACCATAGTGCAGAAGTAATCCAAATCAATGACCCAAGGGTCCATAGAGGAACAAGGTACATTGAGATGAAGTATAATGTCTTACATGATATTGTTCGGCAAGAAAATATACTCATGGCTAGAACATTGCATTGGAACACAACTTTGTTGATCCATTAACAAAGGTGTCATCAATCAATAGTTTTGATTGTCACTTGGATAACATTGGAGTTAGATGCAATTTGAATTAGTTATGAGGGCAAGTGGGAGCTATTGGGATTTATATGCCCTAACATAGCAAATTTCTATTTGGATTATAGTGGCATATGTTCCTGACATATTTGAAATATTTATGATTTATATAATTGGTGAATTCAATGTATTATGTTTCGATTCATTATGGAATTAGTAGTATCCACTTGATTACAAGAGATATTTATATATGTATGTGATAACGATCAATACGTAAATATAAATAGTAATCATAAATTGTTCATAGTCGGTAATTATGGATGGACCCATTATTAACTAAGACTTGAACTGGATCCGCGTTAAGTTGAGATATATTGCAAGAGCCGTCGTATGCAATTGCTCCCTATCACTGTTATGGCATTTGACTTTCAAGCATGAGAGAAGTATAGACTCTTTTCTTAACTAATAATTACTTTGATTTGTTTGGCAGATATTTCGAGATCCATAGATCGGCACTTTGGGTAGTTATGTAATTAATAGTTAGAGGGTTACATTCTCAATATTTGCATCAGTGTTATTTGTATTTATTTTTTATTGATTATGATTGATCACAAATTAAACTTGAAGGCTTTCATATGTTTTAGACAAAATATTTTCTATATATTTATTTAGTAAATTATTATTTTTGTTAAACAAATATTTTATTGTGATCAAGCCGGAAATAATCAAAGGTAACAAAATAATTATATTAATTATGATGTCGGATTGATAGTTTTATAATTCGATAAATAATTATGCATAGAGGGATCAAAATGCAACATTGACTTAGAGGTTATTTACTATTTAATTAGAGTGCAATTAATTTTTTTTAGTAGACTAGAAATTAATTTATGAATTAATTGAATTGGGTCCATGGTTTAGTAGATCAGACCAATTATTAATTTATAGTAGCCAAGAAAATAGTAAGCCCAAAGGATTTTCACCCATATCCCAAGTTGATATTGGAAACCTATTAGAATTGAGATATGTGAATTAGAGATTGAGAAGGATTTATTGTTTACTTTCTTTATCTTTATTTTGCCTATATTTACATGGATCCATGTATATTTTAGGGAGACTTTTTAAAGACAAAGGAATATATTTTATCTCTCTAGTTTTTTAGGGTTTGCTTTCTCTTCTAAAGGAGGTTACCACAAGCCTTGCCTCAAAGATAAATTCATCACGGTATATAGGTGATTAGGTGATTCCTTAAAGGAAGATTACTATCAAGAAGGAGAAAAAATCTTGCTAAAGGATCTATAATAAGTGAGAATATTCACCTTAGAGGAAAGATTTAAAGGTTTATTCAAACCTTTGATATAAGTATTCAATTTATTAATTGAATGATATATCATCATGTTCTTCATGCATAAAATTTGTCTCTAGACATGAATCAAGATCTTTATTTGAAAAACCCTCATAAAATTTTAAAAACTTCTGTTTCCCAACAGGTATGGTGATGGGTGGCCGGAAGGATGTTTTCAGGTGGTTTGGAAGTGGGTTCCTAGAGGATGCTTTCATGGTGTATATTCCTGGCTTCATTCTTGTTTGCTGTTGTGACACACAATTGCGTAAAATGGGTTACCTCGCTTATTTGTAAATCTTAGGCCAATGTAGAGTCTACTAAAAGGGGCTGTGTAATGGGCTTGTTGGTCCCTGGCCCTTCTACAAAAGAGCCCAGCCACAACATAACTTTGTAAATTTTCTTCATATTAAATTATTAATACACACTTCTTCGGGAAAAAAATTAATACACACTTATTTTACATTCCACACAAAAGGAAAAAAATCTCTTATGGCTCATTACCCGTAAATAAATAAATAAATAAATAAATATATATATATATATATATATATATATATATATATATATATATATTCTTCTGTCGTCAACAATATTCAATCTCCTCATGTAGGGAGGGAAGCTTATGCCATCTGGACTAATACTCATTTATTGCAATGGTTACTTTTGATATATGATATAGAATATTTAATTACAATATTCAAATACAATTAATATTTGATATTGTAATACAATTGCTTGGGGAAAAAAAAATTTGAATACAATACGCATAGGACGATTGTATATGTTTACAGCTAGAGAAAGTAACTAAAAAATAGACAATTCATTTGGATTCTTTGTGCACTTCGTATACTCTGTATTGAATGTAACATGTTCCATATCCATGAAAAGAACAAACATGACCAATAGGCCAATAGCCTATCAGTACCAAGGCTCCTACTTTTCAAAGAGAAGTTAGGAGTTCGAGCTTCCGTGAAGGTATGTGTGTGTGAATACCTAACTAAAAAAAAAAAAAAAAACATGCATGAGGGATTGTTTTCGCACTTTTATTTTATTTACTTAATGCTTGAAGGATCAATCACTCTTCTACCCCTATAAAAGATTAGTAACTGCAATAAAGAAGCTTTTCGTGTTCCTTTCGCTATACATACAAGATTGAAAAGCACCTTACCTATCATTATATATATATATATATATATATATATATAGATAAGCTCCTCAATATCAGCTTCTTGTTGTAAAGTATATTCAATTATAAGAGAGGCAAAAGATTCGATCTTTTTCCTACTGTCATGGCTTTAAATGGAGAAAATTGTACCTTGAACAGATTCACAGGCAAAATGATCATGATTCATGCATGAATACTGTTCTCATCCGACATCTCTCTCTACACATACCCACATAACTACACACACACACACACATATATATATATAAGTATATTATATGTACATCCTCATAGTTATTATACCTTATGGACGTGTAAGTATGTGCATAAATAATACGTATATCCTTTTGGAAAAATGTCATATGTACCTTCAAATTAATGCAAGGAATATATACTTATTCCTGCTAGCATGTATAAATATGCGTCTTGTACATAATGATGGCTTCACAAGGATGGGATAAAGCTATAGCTAGATATGAACAAATTCATTGGCCTTCCATCAATACACTCCTCACGTAACTTTGGCTAGAAATCATGTATGGCCATAAGTGGCACTGCATTCAAGTGAACTACACATTCCTAGCAAAGACACTGTCCTATGGATCCACAAAGGCCTTCCAAGTACTTCAATAGGTATGAAAACTGTATGTTTCATGAGCAATGCTTAAAGCATGAACCATATCTCCACCAAAATCTTCTGCCCATCAACAACTCTCCACTTCCCTCATCACCCATATGTTCCCACCATTTAATATTCAATGACCTAAGCACAACAAGATTATGGCTCGAAGAAATGGAAAAGAAAAATATATATATGTACATTGTCTATCCGGTGCCAGAAGGAAATATTAGAGACGGACCTATCTTTGAGATAATTTTATACAAAGTGATTGCTCTGATCACATTTTGACGGAAAGAAGTTGTGAACGTTCAATAAAGAATTAGAAATAACTTTAAATCCACAAGTTTGCACAACTATCTTTATAGCATTGATAATGAATGATCAGCTCTCTGCCATACATGTATTTATAATAAAAGAACCCTAGCACTGCAAGGATACCTATTAGTAAAAGGAAACCAAAAACATAAGAACTACTCAAAATTAGGCATGCCTAGTTCAATTTTCTGAAAATAATTTTCTGTTTTTAAAAAATTTGCTTGGTTGACAATTTTTGAAAACTATTTTCTAAAACTCATTAAAAAATGACTATTTTACAGAACCGTCCTTTATAATTCTCTTAAAATAGGTTTCTATTTTCTGAGTTCTTGAGAATTTTTTTCTAAATGACAAACCATGCAGGCCCTAATCTTTCTTCAAAATTCTGAAAAACATAAGGTAACATACTTGATTACTAAAAATCAAAGTAATTTGATTCCGTTTAGACCTTAAATAAAAATTCCCACATAACTGGCCCTAAATGATAAAATTTGGCCCAAAATTGCCATACATCAGTGGCTGACTTGTGCAAGTTGGTCATTTCCAATTAGAATGGGGTCTTGATAAAAAAGTTCATCAAAACTATCCTAAAAAGCGTGCCAACTCGCCCATTTGTGTGGTCCAAACGAACGATATAAACTCCAACAATCAGTTCTACATCACTTTCTCAATTTTATTTGCAAGTTGGACTTTTTCTTATTAAGCAACAATGACCCCAAACTTAAAGAGAAATGAATAGCCTTAATCACCATTAGTTGGTCTCCACTTTTAGTTATGGGTGGAAGAGGACATGTCGTAACTCATAAAAAGAAAAGAAAAAAAGTGGAGTTCAAACAGTATATTTTGCGACCCTTGATTAAAATTAAAGGTACTTGAGGGTCAAGTGATCTTGCATATTGCAGATCCATGCACATTTAAATTACATATCACACATATTTAAGTCTTTAAACAAGCTTATCCATTAACCACTCTACTTTTAGGGTTTATCCACATTCTATGATTAAGGTATATATAAAGGAACCCAACTTGCAATCATCAATGCAATTAAGTTGCTGAATGCAAGAAACCCTAACCCTAAAAATTCTAATCAATATATATACCTTTTTTCGGTAAACAACAATATATTATATACACATCCTTTGTTAAACAATGCACACGCATCCAACAAAAGAACAATAATTGAAAAAAGGAAAATAATTAAGGAGAAATTAAAAGACTAAAGCTACAAGCTCAGAATTGAAGATACAAAATAAACCCAAAATCCCCATAATTATATAGAAAAAACTAGGATTAAGTACAAAGAATAAAGAAAAGAACAAAAGTACCAAACTAGTCCCTCAATGGGTTATAGGCTAGTCATTTTACAATGATAAACAGATCATCAGTCACAATGTAAATGGTGAAGTGGGCTCTTAATTAACTAAAGAGAAAAGAGAACCCCAACTCATGAGTCAGTACAGAAAATTACATACCTATAACATATAGGCTCTCTACTCCTCTTTGGGCTCCTTTCTTATCTGGGATGGCACAATGTCCTGAAGAAGTCCATGGTCTCTCAGCAAAGTAGATGGAGAAGGGCAAAACTGTCTTTCTTGAAGAAAATTGGGAAATGAGGAATTCATAGTGCTGCTAAAGCTCAAAGATGGTGTTGGGTTATGGAAATAGGGTTGTTGTTGATGCTGCAGTTGCTGATTGTGAAGTTGTGGAATGACAAAAGAGGAAGCACCACCACCGAAACCGCCACTAAAAGTGGCAGATTCCGGCATGATTCCGAGGTTTCCACGGGGAGTTATCGGACATGGATGCGTGTGTGTACCTTCATAAGTAGTCATGACAATTGATGGATCATCCGACGATCGCTCCACCCGCTTCTTCACACCACATGCTGCAGTGGTGCAACGATAGTAGCTCCTGTAAATGCATTAAACGAACCCCACAAAATCTTCAACAATGTTCAATCACAATCAATCATATATATATATATATATATATATATATATAGATATATTTCCATATATACACAAAAAAATATTACTCACATATATATCAAAAATCATAATCACGGTAATTTAAATCACAATGTTCACAACTAAATATAACAAATTAATCGTGTGTGTGTGTGCTATGTGTGTGAAAATAATAAGGGGGACCAGATGAGAAGTTGAACCTTGGAAAAGGACTGTTCTTCACAGCTTTTTGGCCGTACTTTCTCCATCTATACCCATCATCCAAGTGATCAACCTCACTCTTTGTCATGAACGCAAATCTGGGCTCTCTTTGCCTTTTTGGATTCTTCTTTTTGGGTTTCAACCTAAATCCACAAAGATTAAATCACTTTAATTACTTCTCTTCTTTTCCTTTTTCCTTTTTTTTAAAATAAATAAATCATAATTATCAAATCTACACAGTTCACACACACTTGGATTTATATGCATAACAGAGAACCCATTAGCTAAATAAATCTCCTTTTTCCCTTTTAGTGGGTTTGTTAATTAGTGCTTTTTATTTTCATGTTTCATGCAAAGCTAATACTGTAACCTACAGACAAAGAAAAAAACATTATAAAAAAAGTGTGTGTGTGTGTGTGTGTGTATATATATAAGAGAGAGAGAGAGAGAAAAAAAAAAAATAAAATAAAAAAAATAAATAAAAAAAAAAAACGAAAAGCTTACTCTTTTTTAGTTTTTTCTTGATTCTGATCCTCTTCCTCCACTTTATGTTCATCATTGGCTGCTTCAGTAGAGGACGAAGAGATCGACGATGAATTGGGCGTGGCCGGAGTATTGACCACCTCCGACGAGTCTGGGACCGTGGATGCCGGGGACGGAAGGGGTTGCGTCGGCATGGGCATCGAGGGTGTGTGAAGCAGATCCAATAAAGATGGACCATAATCTTGCATACCCAACATGTCCATGAAGCCTAAAGACCCCTTTTCGCCATCACATGGCATGTCGAAGATGCTGCTGCTGCTGCCGGATGACAAAGCGAAACTCACCGGAATCTGATCAGAAAATGTTGAATTCCCCATCCAATTGTCGTTACTTAGCTCCTCCTCTTTCTTCTCCATGGATTGATCAAAGCCTTAGATTCTTCATTTCAAGCTGTTCGTTCAAGTGCAGTTTTTTTTACGACGGTAGTGTAGAGAGAGAGAGAGTTTTTTGGTTTTGGGCTGTTTTAAGTGTGATTTCGTGAATAGTAGAGAGAGAGGGGGAGAGTATATTTGGTTTTGGAGTTTTAGAGAGAGAGAGAGAGAGAATAGAGAATAGAGAATAGAGAATAGAGTTTTTGGTTTTTGGTTTTTTTTTTTTTTTATCTTTCAAGTGTGAAGAGGGATTTTGGGAGGGTTTGAGTTATGGGGGTGTGTTTGGAGAGGAGGTTAAATGGAAAAAGGGAGTTTCCAACTTGGGTTGACCGGCACTTGCCGGTGGAAATTGTCCGGCGACTTGTAATAAAGGTGGGCCTAGTGGCATTTAATAGGAAGAGGACTTGCAAGTGGACCGGTGAAAGAGTAGACGCATTCGTACGCGGGTTGATGACTGGTTACCGGTTGTGATTTAGAGTGTGTGTGTGTGTTGTGTTGTTTCTGTGTGAACGAGCTTAGGCTTACACGTGGGCTGTAGAAAAGTTTGGCTCGTGTGCATGCATGTATATGATCCCTAGATTTTGTTTTTTCCTTTTCCCGGTTTTCCTTTTCAACTTTTAACGGCAAAAATTTATTGCTTGGATTACAAGAATGTCCCTAGTCCCCTTTTGTGTTTTCCTTCGCATTTCCAATATAGAATATATATGTTAGAATATATTAGATTCCGTATATTATATTCCATCGAATTGTATAAATGAATTATAATCCCCCTTTGTCCCAAATAAGTCACTATTATCAAAGTGAACATCTATTTTAAAATAAAAGGAGTATAAAATTTAATTAATAAGCGAGAATTAGGGGTAAATGAGTATCATCCAAATAAAATTATACAAGACAACTAGGTTGGTGAGTACTATCTAAGGCAATTATGTAGTGTACAAGAAACCTTAGATGGTACGTTGAGGCCCATTGGTGGCAAATCGATCCATGAAGGTCCAGCACATCTCCGTGTATTGGCGGGCTGGTGAAGATCCGACATGTTATTCGGTATGGATAAAAGATCTTCCTATGTATATTGTTCAATTCTCGACGATGAATTGACTTAATAGCTTAGATATTGTTATTCATGATATTGACTCGATTCAATATGATCGAGGTAATTCATCCATTGAATTTATAGGCGAAAGATTTTTTATCTGAATAAAAAAAATAAAAAGAAAGAAAGAAGAGACAATATTTGTATTTTAAGTTCTTTTGCATTAATTCTTATATGCTTCATATAGCGTGGACTTTGCAATTTGTACAATTGTACTGTGTATGGTACAATAATATTTTGGGTGGGGCTAGTTGGTTCAATTCCTCACCTTTACAATATATATGCGTGTATATATGTACCTATATAAATATAGTACATATATCCATGTATATAACACATAGAACGTACAGTTGCATAGTCTACACCGTCATTAAGACTACTTATTTTGATGATCGTAATCTGCTAACTAATGGTTGCAATACTTTTCAATCACCAAAAACCCTACCTACCTAGGGTGCCAAATTCAAGACTTTTAATTAGTTGTTCATCTTGATTACAATGATATAATTTCTTCTCTTTGCCCTTGCTTATTTAACGATGGTCATTTGTCTCGTATCAAATCCGAATAAAAAAATGATTGGATATAAATGAGTGGTATGTAACATTATTCGATAACTTAAGCTTTTGGGTAAATAGGCAAGCGTCCATTTGTTACAATTGGTATCAGAATCAAATCCAATTCTTAATCTAATGCCACGCCAAGCGCCGAAAGCCTCCAAACTTTTATCAAGATGGATTCCACTTTTATCAAGATGAAAAAGTAATTCAGTACAAATAAATGAGTACGTAGTACTATTCAATAGTTTAGCGCTCACCCGTTACACTTATCCTTTAGAATCGATCCTTTACAATAAATTTTTTATTTATTTAATTTTTCCGATATACTTCATCATGCATTCTTCTCATTTCATATGTATTATGCAATAAATTGCACGTTGGAATTTTTTATAAACATAACTCTAAAGAAATTCAAATTACCTTCAAGATGATGTAAGGTGAGAGTCTAGAAAGGTTCCTTTAGACCAAGATATTTATGAAGAGTTTGGATTTGAATATTCATTTATGGAGAAAATAAGTGGAACTTAAAAGCATGATTTCTTTCTTGTATGTTAGATCGATTAAATTAGACGGAAATAATTTTGCTATTTTGAACCACAATCTAAATTTGACCTTACATATATTTAATTTAAGAAAGAAGGATAAAAATAGGATTATTTACTTAATGAAAAGTCCAATAAACTATTAATTTTCAACCATGAGGTCATTTGCTTATTAAACTAGGGGACCTTGAATAATTGTAGATTAAAAAATAAATTTAAAATATGTTCTAATTAAAATTACCTTACGAACCCCGTCATAAGTTGGAGTCTAATTAACTAACTAAGCTCGGATGTGCATAAGTTGAACTTGAGTGGTATCGAACTCTAACTCCTTCAATTTATGTACACTATGTATATATTTAGTGTTTGTTTAATTCGATGAATGAATTAGGTATATAAAATAATAAGTTAGGTATAGATCTAATGTTTTATATTATTTCCTTTACTAAAAGCAGCGTTAGTCAATTCAAACCAATATTTTCTAAACTTTGACCATTATAAATTTAAACCAAATAAAGATAATTGTTTTGTATCCTACCAAAATTGCATGTAGTTTTATATTTTTCTTTACAAGTTAAATCACGCACACATCATATTAGGGTTGTTTGGGGACCACTTTTATTTTGTGTTTTTTTGTTTCCTACTAAAGGTAGAAAGTGTGTTTAATTATATTCGTTGTGATTTGAATAGTATTGAAACGCTTTTAAAAAAGATGTCAAAATCGAAAACCCTAAATTTAGGGATGGCAACGGGTGAGAGTTTGGGTTGGTTTGGCTAAATCTTATTCCGCCCCGTTAAAAAATTTATCATACCAACTTCGCCCCTACTCCGAAACAGGTTTATAATTATTATACCATCTTCGCCCCTACATAAACAAAATACCGATTCCGTCCCATGTATTTCGTTTAATTGCAGAGTGCGACGGGAGTGGATTGGGTTAAGCCACTTTTATCACGTAAAAAAACAAAAAAACAAAAAAATACAAAAAAAAAAAACTAACTAATTAACTAACTAACTCAATGTGCTCAAATTGGGATGATAAATAAGCTGACCTAATTTTTAAATTACCAAGTAGTGAATATTAATATATTAACAACATTTTCAATAAAATAACAAGATTCTTCAAAATATAAAACATGTATTATATATATATAATCGGGGCGGGGTCGAGTTGGGCCACCCCAAACCCGTTTCGGGTTTTCAATTATTTTACCAAACTCGTCCTTAAAGTCATTTAGGGACCACTAAATCCACCCTATTAGGGGTGAGGGCATGGCGGAAACCCACCGGGTCAGAGGAAATTGACATCCCTACCTAAATTGGTGCTTCTAGTTGCTTATGCACGTAGCAAAAGTACTATAATGATGAACAATATCCAAAAACGAAAACAAAAAAATTAATTAAAAAAAAAAACTCTAAAAATAACTAAACATGTTTTTATGTTTTTGTTTTAAAAAAATATTGAAATAAATATACGTTACCAAATATACTTCTGAATGGTATTGAACATACTCCAGAATAGAGACATTGTTTTTACATTGAATCAAAGTAAAAGTACAAAGCAACTGCGGTTACAAACGAACCCTTAGATTTATGGTACCATTCGGAGATTTTTTTTTTTTTTTGATAAATTACTATTCATATATTTTACAAATAAATTAAAGAATAATAATAAATGGTTTTAAAAAAATTAATTAATTTTATGTGAATATAAGTAAATGTCATATGATATTATAAGATGTCAATCACCCTCACACATAAATCAGTACTATTCTAAATTGAAATGTAAGAAAAACATGTAATCCTTACAATGTCCGTCATGACCAAAGGGCAATTCTGTAAAATTATGATCACTTCAAACACAAGAAGATCCATTAGATTACCTTACCCGAGAAAAAGAAAAAGACAAAGAAAAAGAAAAAGAAAAGAAAGTTCCATTAGAGCTACAGAGAGAGAGAGAGAGAGAGAGAGGGAGAGGGAGAGTAACCGCGTTTTTTGTGCGAAGGTTGTGTGAAGGAAAAAGTGGGCACGTGTGGTCCAAAAGTCAAACAAAGTGTATCTGCTTGCTGACACAATATCCGCGTCACCGACTCAAACATATATATAGTGTGTGTGTATATATTTAGCTTACTTCTTCCCCGACAAGCCAAACACTATCTAGCGAGTATAGACTTTATACAGACCACTGTTTATAAACATGTTTATTTCATTAATTAATTTATTTCAACCATTACATCCTTCTTAACCACAACAATATATAAAATGCTATTTATTTATATGTTAATTATTATATATTGTTATAAATAATGAATTAATGAAAATAAATCATATCAATTTGTTATTAGTATTTTTATAAAGAAATGGAACACATTTTTATTAAGTGGACAAACTAATAACGTAAGATATCTAAGAAATTCAATATATAATCGATTGAACTTGTGTTAAGCTCCAATCAAACCGAATTACCTATTTTTTCACTCTACATATTCACAAAACTCAAATTGTTAAACTTATGCGAACATATATATATATATATATATACAAATACTTGTTCAAAAGCTTTGAATTTTAACAATTTAGATGTGAACGAGCCGAAGTATTGCATCATCAAGATAAAAGTAGTCCCATCATAACTTCTTTTTTCATGTTATATGTTGTGTTACTTGTGTATGCCTTTTACATACAGCATCATGTAATGATTACAGAGTAGCTTCATGTTATCATCATTGCACATTAAACTTGGTAGGGTTACAACCTGGATGTAACTAAGATCCAAGTTGGTCTTTTGTCAATTCAATCAACGGAAAAATTTTATATAGGGACAAAATTGTCATTTTCTTATTACTTCTATCTAGAAATTATTACTTGATTCTAATATTATTGATCCTCGACTAATAATATGCTGACAAATAAATAAGTGTGTCTATTTTATGTCAATATCAATATCTTTGTTCTCATGTGTTAGGGGCTTACCTAATCATTTCTACTCTTTAATGTGGGCCAGGTGAACTAATGTGGACCAACCAGTGGCCTAACACGTGTAACCATCTGGTCAATTTAAAAGTTATTCTAGACTCCACGTGTCAGATCGGACGGCTTGCAGTTCGTTTCAGACTCTACGCTAGCACATGGGGTCATTCTACGCGGTTTCAGAATATTCTTATGTTTACTTGCGTTGCACGCTCTTTGTTTTCCCACGGCTTTTCCT